CAGAATAACCTGATGGTTCTTGCAGTCACCATGACTAGCAGTAATGGGTCTTCGTAAAGCTACTGGATTTAAGTAACCATTTGAGATCAAACAGCCTTACCCTCCTACATTTTGGGAAAATAGGTATTTCTTGCCTAGTTGGCAGTGAACTCAAAGGGAACATGGATGCATGAGGGGGTCAGTGGCCCCCATTATCACTGCCCTTGGTAATGGAAATGGTGGGACATTCCAACTCATGATCCCTGTGGCAAGTGATTTTTTTTATTACCACCTCTCCCCAGAATCTCTTGGACCCCAAGACCTTTGGGACCAGGAGTTATGCACACAGCTGGCTAAGAAGTGCCAACATGATGGAGATGGCAGTGGCTGGGAGTCACAGCTGGATCTTGCTACTGTCTACTTTCTTCCTTGGTCTGAATGTGGCATCACAGCAAAAGTGGGGTGGTGACAAGCAGCAGGGATGGCAGTGGGGCTTCTCTTTCTGACATCCAGTGGCAAGAGGACTTGCACCAAGGCTGGCAGAACAACAACGATTAAGAAAAACCCATAAAAACAGGGGGAGCGACACCATGCAGCTTTTGTTAACACAAAAAGATACTAAAATTTCTGTTTGCAGTTGTGTGTGTGTACGTGTGAAATGAATAATATCTCCTTGCTATTTATGAAATGTTGGGTTCTTAAACCAATTTTCAAGATTTCAAAGCTTTTCTTGGACATACTCAGATCTGTGATTCAGATCTGCCCTCTGCAATTCAAATTGCCTTGCTCCTGATGAGTCCATAAAAACTGTGGTCAGCTAATACACCAAATAAAACCTGTAGCCCTAGTGGTAATATATTAAGGAAAGGAGTGATAGTTTACTGGTTTCTCTTTTGAACTTTATTCTGCATGTGCTCAGTGCCTTTTTAATCATTCTGTGCTTCAGAATGAAATTTGGCTAACAATACACATTAGCCTCCCCCCCCCAGGTCCCTTAATGTTTTAAATATCTGCAATATTACTTCTGTTTAGGCCTATTTTATGAGGAAGTGATGCAGCTTCCTGCCAAGCTCTGAACTACAGACAGCTATTCTAGCAGGCTCTCAGTAGTAAATTTATCTTCCCCTCGCCATTCTCAGGCCTATTAAACTTACTGGCAATTTGTTTTAGAAGCTTTTGTTTGTGTTCTCTCTCTCTCTCTCTGCTTCTCCACACGTCTGGCTAGTCACATTGTCTAACTTCTCCGCAGAAGGTGAAGGGAAAGAGACTCCTCCTTCTTTGCTTCTCCAATAGAGAAGCCAACTGGGTGATGCAAGCAGGCAGATATGCTAATATCTGTGCACTGGAGGATTGTGGGAGGAAAATCCAGCCCAAGGAGCTCTCTTGGCCTCTTTTGGGACTGGGGCTGTGCAGCCCTGTTCTGAGCAGGAGGTGCAGCCGGGGGTCACCATACCTTTGGAGGGCAAGGCACAGAAAGGGGCAGGAGGCCAGGGGTCATTCTAACTCATACATGGCAGGGGAGATACCATTATTGTAAAAGTGGTTTTCCCAGGGTAAGGCTCATCCATTGCACTTTGGATGTGCTGACCCCTGTCATTTCCCTAAATGTGGGAAAATCAACTGCCTAAGTGGTTCCCCCTGGTCTTTCTAGAATCACCCTTTCCCCTTTGGTCCTTGGCTGTTTTCACTGCCTGCTGCCATAGGCCTGTTGGCCTTGCTGGTTTTCCAGGTGGGCTGCAGGAAGCAGATCCTGGAAAGCTAGCAGTGCAGAATGGTAAGGTCCAAACAGCAAGCAGTCTCTGATGCCAGTTCAGAGGCCTCCCAGCATGGCAGTGGGAGGCTTCTGGGGGGTGGTGGCTGAACCCTTTTTTACTGTATTTGCTCAATAAGACGCACATACTTCCCCCACCTTTTTGGAGGGAAAAAGTGTGTCTTATGGAGTGAAAAATACGGTACTTGTCATCTGACCATTAATATCTTCAGTCATCAAAATCAAAAGCCATCAAATCATATGTAGCTTGATTTTATTTTGCTACTGTCCTAAAGTCAGTTCTGGCACCAGCAAAGGTGAAAAGATTATACCTAAGGTTTTTCAATGATACATATGTATATGTGTTCTTGTAATGTATGTAAAGATGTAACTTGCAGTGGCGAAATGGCAAGCATTCTGGAAGCAGTTTTACTTGTGAAGCAGCTAAGCTGACATTCAACAAATTTTTTCCAGCATTCATATATTTTGTCACCTCGGCATATAAAAGGATTAACAACAATTCTATGTGTGTCATTGTTGCTTTCTATATTTGTTTTGTTTTAGTTTTGGGGATATTGTGTTTTAACCCCTTTCAAGACATTTGATTACATTCACTCCTTGGCCTTGTTCTCCTCAGATTAATGAATGAAATCACTGATCATAGAGCAAAAGCTGTTTGCTTCAATGTGTTTTCCTAATGAAATAATTACTGACATTTTTTCTACCAAAAGTTGCTAACATTTGATAGTGTTCTTAACGCAAAATACACTGGTGATTTCTTAATACAATATGCTTTAGTGCTTTATTTAAAGAAGAAATGCATGTGTTTATTCTGTGTTCAAGAATACAGTATTAGGGTTTCTTTTCAAAGTGGCAGTCTCACAGAATTTTGTACATTGATCTACAGTATATAGTTCTGAAACAATAGTTGAAGTTAGATGTGTACCTTAGTGTGCTTCCTTTCAGCTGATGTTATTAGTTGCTTTGATTGCACCTGAAATTTAATATGCAGTTGTTTACAATAAGATGTATGATTGTTGGATTTGGTGGTGTGGATGAGCACAGTTTTTAATGCTAATTATTAAAGCTTATCTACTAATTTTTCACATGCATATTTTGTGTAATTTATTGAGTAATAAGAGTTAATGTACACCTACAAGGGACAACATGTTTGAATTACTTTTTCAAATTAATTTTGGCAGTGAGAATTCTCGTCTTGCAGCAGAAGTCTACAAAGATATGCCTGAAACCAGTTTCACACGCACAATATCCAATCCAGAGGTGGTAATGAAACGGCGGAGACAGCAAAAGTTAGAGAAGAGAATGCAGGAATTCCGGAGCTCTGATGGCAGACCAGATTCAGGTAAATTTTAGTCTGTAATTAAGAAAATTAATCTGAATTGGCTCTTCCAGTTGCCTTATTTGGCATAATTCCAAGCACAGTTTTTGAATTATAAATCTCAAAATACATTAAGCCTGAAATCTAACATAGCACTGTTATGGCAGCAGCACACATGTGATGCAGTATTCTTCCTTATGTCTGTAACTCTTGAAGCTGCCAAGAAATAGGCCTCAGGAACTAATTCCCAGAGCATTTTTGTGTTGTACAATGCTCAGTTATATTTAAATGTATTATATATATGGCTTAGTAAAAATGTGATGGAGGAGTGAGTGAAAAGCATGGAATGTTGTTATGAATGGTTTTGATTGGCTTGGAAAAAAACTAGATAAGAGGTAGATGTGTTTGGGAGTGAGTCTTGAGTTTGACAGAGTGCATGAGACAGCTTTAGTGGGAAGACAAAATCACACACTCCTCCACTGTATTCCACTGTCTCACTAGCATGTGGGGGTTCCTGCCCTTAGAGTCTTTATTTCTATTTATGTTTCACCATAACCATAAAGATAATCTACGTGCCGCCCCAAAATCAAGAATTGAGCATTGCATACTAATGATAGAGGCCCAGATGGGTATTCTTGGTGCATACCTTGCAAGAACGGCTTCTATATACTGTATTCAATAGCTGTTACTAACAAATTCATTCCATTTAAAAATAAAATTTATTCCATATTTTTATCCAAAATAACTTTTTATATGTATTAATATGGAAAAGCAAACAACAAGAACACCATAATATAAAAGCTAAATAACCAATTAGGCATAATACTTAAAACAGATTGGATCCATAATTTTAAAAAAATCTTAGTCAGAAATTCCCCTGAACAGGTCCAAATAGCACATTAAAAGCTATTGAATGTATTCTACCACGCCGTTTTGTTGGCTGTGAGACATTTCATCAGATCTGTAAGAGTTTCATACATGTTTGTGGGAGAAAATTTTAAACAGTGAGCTGTGAGTGAAATTAAATGCAGAAAATGCTGAAAGTGAACACTACATTAAAATGAATAAGTTCATTATTATATAGTGGACCATCAACCTATGGACTTAATCCGTATTGGAGCGGTGGCCTCAGGTCGAAAAGTTTGTAGGTCAAAGGTCCATTCCCCATAGGAATGCATTGAAAACCCATTAATCCATAACCGGCTAAAGAAAAAAATGCCCCCCACAAAAAAATGAAAATAAATACACCTTACTGGTCCGAAGTCTTCCAGGGGTCCCCCGCCGCCACCATCGCCACTGCTCGAGGCCTCCAAGGGCTTCCCCACCACTACTGGAGGCCTCATGGGGGTCCCTTGCTGCTGCCATTGCTGCTGCCCGATGCCTCCGAAGTCTTCCCCACCACTGCCGGAGGCCTCTCGGAGGTCCCCCGTCCCCGCCAATGCAGGCTTTCCCAGGGTGGACTGGGCCTACCAGGGGAGGGCTTCCCCTCGTAGGCCGGTTTACCGCCCAGGAAAGCCTGGTAGGCCGTGCCTACCAGGCCCGGTCTACCCTGGGAAAGCCGCCAGCACTGGCAGACCTCTGAGAGGCTTCCCATGGTGGTGGAGGAGCCCTGGAAGGCATCCATTGGCACGATCGGTGGCCTATGGACCGGAAGGGGGAGGCGGGGAAAGCACCAAATTTGAATTTGCCGCTTTCCCCGCCTCCCCCTTCCGGTCTGTAGGTTGATTCTCTGGCCCCAAGTCAATGGGAAATTTTGCGGCCGGAGAAGTCTGTACCTTGAAAAGTTTGCAAGTGGAGCCGCACGTAAGTCGAGGGTCCACTGTAGTCCCATAGGAGTGTTTTTTCACTTCCTAAATATGAAGGTTTTGATAGTCTTCAGAAAATCATCAAGAAGATGATCGAATGGACATGCTTGAAATGCAAGTTTCAGAGAGTCCTGTTATAGAAAAGGACCTAGATCTAGCAGGCGTAGATTTCTGAGAACTGGGGCAAGCAGAACAGGGTCCCTTCAGATTTCAGGAGGCACAGCAGAGCAGGGGCATCACAGGAAAAAGTGTTTATTTTAATACATGATTTTAGGGCTGTTATGTATATCATTGGTTATCATAGCTCAAGCAAATTGGAATTCACTTCTGAAGGAGAGATGTTAGGTAGATATTGCCGTTCATTATCCATCATGAAACCAGGTCTTGTAGCATTCAAATATTGCACAAAGGCAGTCCAGGCAAAAGGACATCACGTTTCTCCAACCTAAAGGATGCAGTTGCAAAATGGGAGGAAAGGCACTTTGGGCCATAAATGTCACCTAAGAATGAAGTAGCAAAGCTAAGTCTGAGAGCCAACGTGAAGGTGAACATTCTTAGATATTTCAGAGGATGTGTGGACTCACATGAAATAGTCTTAACATGCTAATGCTCAAAGCCTAAGTATTTCTTGAAGATCTTGTTAACTTTGGTGGTTTCAGCTGATGTTTGGTGGCTTGCGTGTGGGCTATTAGACAGTAGTTTCATTAGATTTCTGTGATTAATAAATGTTGTTTTTAAGTATGTGACCTGCCTTGGGGGCCAAATATAAAATTCACTCAAAGAAGAAACTATATTAATTGTTATTTAATGTTTTTCCTCTGACAGTCCTTGCAAAATGAACTGTCTATCTTGGTTGTGTTTTTGTTTTCATGCTCTGTTGCACTGTTAAAACTATACCTGTATTAAACCTTGCAATCTCTGAGCCTCCAACAAAGCAACAGTTGTCGAAACCAGTACTCAATAGTTAGTTTGGGACACGATGCCAGTTAATACTGATCAGTGATCTGAATATCTCATCTTTCACTTATACAAATGAGACAGACTTTAGGTTGGATTTAAATGCGTGATCAGGGAAAAGCATATGAGTTGATACTGATGATAGTAGGGTTTATTAATAAAGACAATAGTGCACTGCGGAAATATTCTTGTCCATGCTGTGAAGTATTATAGCTCCTATTTTTAAATATTTTTACTGGATACCAGATGAGATTTTTAAATAAGTTTATTTAAGTTGTTTGGGGTGTATAATTTACAACTGCTGTTGAAATTCTCTCCTCCCACTACTTTTTTTTTTTAGGAGGGACATTGAGAATTTATGCTGACAGTCTGAAACCAAATATACCATACAAGACAATCCTGCTGTCTACTACAGATACTGCAGATTTTGCAGTTATTGAGGCATTGGAGAAGTACGGTTTAGAAAAGGAAAATCCAAAGGACTATTGTATTGCGCGTGTAAGTAAATTAAATAAAGGATATAGTTCGAAGGTTGTTAGCTGTAAGATATCTCTGTCATTGGAGAACATGTTTTTAAGAGGCAACCCTATTGTTAAAATGCAACGATAGGTTAGTAAAATGTAAAATTTTCTTCAGTTATATAAGTTTTTGAATTTTTACACACATATTTTTATAGCTGCTGCATCACATTAATTATTATTTAAGAAAACCTTTATTATTTGCAAACAAGTACAATATATTGATCCAATAAAATTTTGTCTGCTTGAATTAGCTCCAGTGAACTTGGTGTACAAAAGATAGTATCTACAGAGATTTCATATACCAATTTGCTTCTAAAAGTTAGCTATTTGTGTAAGCCGCCCCGAGTAGACATGGTCTAGAGGGGCGGGGTAAAAAATAAATAAATAAATAAATAAATAAATAAACAAACAAACTGTGGAACAGGATTTCAGGAAATGTATACAAACTGCTTAGGGTATATTTGATTGAAAAAACATCAAGTTTCATTTTTCTTTTTACTTTGATACAAATTCAGTATATGACAGCTTTTGGGAGGGGAGAGATTATTTACTATCAAGCAATTAACTCTTAAGGGGAACTACTATTCCACTCAGTTATAGGCAAGGGGAATTCCTACTCAGCTGATCTGTAGTTTATGGTCTGGCTTATAATAATAGGATAGTGATTTGGTGTCTTTGGCTCTTCAGGTTAGTATGATTGGGATGTATATGTATTTGTTGTAGTGCAATGTAGCTTTTTTATCCATTTGGACAGTTTTTATCTGTTGAATTTATATTTATCTTGATTTTTCATCTGCTCTGAACAGGCAGTGGCTTTACGGAGATAGCAGGGAACATTAGTGAAAGCTTACAGTGCTGAACTAAAATCTGTATCTTTTTCAAATAGAAGCTATTAACCTACTGATAAAAAATGGAAAGACTGAGTGCTACTGATATATATTACTTTTTGTCAGCCATGTTACTGCTATTTTCATGCTATTTTATTTTGTTACACCAACTGCAAAACTTTACAGAAAAGCATAATATTTTCCTACCTTTTAAAATAAGTTGTGAGTCTAAGCATAGCTTGGACTGAAAGATGGGGTATGATGTAGTTTGCATCAATGCTAATGTTTTGCTCATACTGAAAGTATAAATGCATCCTTTTGACTACAGTGGTGCCTCGCATAGTGAGGTTAATCCGTTCCGGATTATCCTTCGCTATGTGAAAACATCGCTGTACGGAACGGGGAAGCCCATGTTTAATGCGTTCCAAATGGGCAAAAACCTCACAGTTCAGCAATGTTTCCAGGGTCTGGCAGCCATTTTCGCGCCCTCGGTAAGCGAGGGCAGGGCGCGAAAACACTGCGCGCGGCCATTTTGGGGCTTCCGGCAGCCATTTTGGAGTCGCCAAACAGCTGATCCGCAGGCATCGCTTTGCGAAGATCGGAGCCTCGTGGCGCAGTGGTTAAAACGCTGTACTGCAAGCTAAAAAAAAAAACTGTGCTCACGACCTGGGGTTCAAATCCCAGGTAGCCGGCTCAAGAATAAATAAATAAATAAATAAATACCTCATCGCTATGCGATTTCGTCGTTCTGCGGTGCGCTCGTTAAGCGAGGCACCACTGTATTTATTTCCACTAACAGTTCAGGGAAAAATGTAGTTGTTAGTGCCCACTAGAGGAGATGTACTGAATGAGTGGGATTTGCATAATATTTTATTTAACAGGCCCTATTCATTAATTGTGTCTGGTCTAATTAGGATTAAGAATTGGATTTAACCCTCTGTATTTACAGTAACCTTCCCCCACCCTTTTGTAGGTAATGCTTCCTCCTGGTGCTCAGCATTCTGATGATAAAGGTGCTAAAGAATCTATTCTTGATGATGATGAGTGTCCACTTCAGATATTCAGGGAATGGCCAAGTGACAAAGGTAATTTTAGCTGTTCAGAATAAATAATACATCACAGTGACCATCTTTAGACATGCCAGATCATAGGGCTTTGTGCCTGAGCCACAAGTAGCTTTAAACTAACATCTTCAGGTCTCCATTTCATGTGTTAGGATTTTTTTCACTTGCTCTTCCTTCCTATGACCAAATTATGATTTATGGTTCTTTCAAATTGTGACTGGAAACTAGAGAGAGGTGATGAGCAATGACTGTGCATTAGGGAGGACAGAAGTGTGACCGCAAGGCTCCTCCCTGTTCATTTATGCAAGACCAAACAGTAACTGGACATTGATCCCAAATGTAAGCAGTGTCCTAAGTCTTGAATACTGTACAAAATGGCTTAAAATAGAGACTGTGTCTTTATGCATCTTGATGGCTTGTTATATAGAGTTCTTCATTTAAAAATAACAAGATTGGAATGGAAATATATTGCCTTGCTTAGGTGGCATTGAGTTGGTCAGTGTGTGTCATCTTCACAGAGGTTCATATGAGGACAAAGTAAATACTGTGACTTGTTCCAACTAAGCCCTGAGGCTTAAATAAAATATATAAAAAAGGAAGCTGAAACAGCTTGCTATAATGGGTGTTAAAATCAAACAATTTAAAACAGGCACAGGTTGTCTAATTTATAGTGATTGCCATCTTGGCTGCCTCAGGAAATCTTACAGAACTAATTATTTGGGTTTAAATTTAAAAATAAAATCTACAAATGACCTGTACATATATTATTTATACCAGAATTTCTAGCTTTTGGAGAACAGTATGAAATTTTGTTGAATAAAAAAGCTTTTAATTTTGCTTTCAATTCTATTTTCACTTTATTCTTTAATTGGATAATTACTGTTTTAAAGACAGTTTCTTCAGTATACTTAATTAGTAACTCTTCTGTATGAATTAAGAGTGAGCATATATGTTCAAGAGAGAATTCTGTTTGTATTCTTTGCTTTAGGGATACTGGTATTTCAATTAAAAAGGCGGCCACCTGATTATATCCCAAAGAAGTTGAAAAAACAAGTAGATGGAAAGCCATTAAAGGGGAAGGAGAGAGTTGACGGGTCTGGTTATGGCTCTTCCCTTCCTCCAGAGAAACTACCTTATCTTGTTGAACTAAGTCCAGGTAAGAATTCCTTCTCTGAAGCAGCATTCTTTCATTTTTACAACAGCTTGCTTCAGAGTTACTACTGATAGTTTGCTAGAATGCCTGTCCTGCATTTGTGGAGTTTTATGGAATAGCATTGAGAGCTTGTCTGGTATAATGAATATAAAGACAGATTACAACTCAAAAGAGCTGGATTCAATCCCTGCTTGGCCGTGGAAACTCAGATGACACTGGTCAAGCCACTCCTTAAATACATACTTTGTTCCAGTCTGCTCCAGTGAACCTGTGTAGACAAGCCCATAGTTACTAACAGTGAGAGTATATGAAAATATACTAGTATTTTTGGTCTTGCCTTTGGCCCCACCCACTATTGAAATGATGATGCTAAAAAGCTATCTGAAATTGAATTCAGTTCTCAGGCTGAAATTTCTTTCCACTTGTGATATATTAGTAATAGACACAGTATGGCCCTCCAGATATTATTTTACTGCAGCCCCCTGGATTCTTTTCCATTGACTGGGAGTTGGTCTATCCACATCTGGAAAACCACAGTTTGTCCACCCTGCTTTATAGAATTGAAACTTATGTGGTGTGATTGAAACACAATATTGTGTCAATTCCAAACAGTGGATTGTATTCAAAGAACTACAAGGAGAGAAAGAACTGCAAATGACTGCTTCTATTGTTCTGTAAATGGTTGCACAAGAATTCACATTGTCCTGTAGTTGAGATATTCTTACACAACATTTTTGAGTAAAGCGAAAATGGGCCTTCCATTGAACATACATTTTACATGCTGTTGTGCAATTTTGGCTACAAATTATTCCAGTTCTTGTTAATGACTTGGAGATCTTACTTGAAGTGTGTGTAATATTTTTCAAGCTTTATATATTTGAACTAGAGGTGTTTTTTTTTTTTAAATTAAAATTGGTGGTGAACACCATTTTTCTTTCCATAAAGGTTTGCATTTAAAGTGAGCAAGCAAGATAAAAGTTAACTTGTCCTCAAAATAGATCAGAATGTTTTCGCATGAATACTATATCAATGTGTGCTTTCTGATTATAAGGCAAGCCCACTACAATGAGACATTTGCAAATTTAATTTAACATCACTTGCTTTTCGTTGTTTAGTTATTAAGTCATGTCCGACTCTTCGTGACCCCATGGACCAGAGCACACCATGCCCTCCTGTCTTCCACTGCCTCCTGATTTTGGTCAAATTCCAGTTGTTAGCTTCGATGACACTGTCCATCCATCTTGTCCTCTGTGGTCCCCTTCTCCTCTTGCCTTCACACTTTCTCAACATCAGGGTCTTTTCCAGGGAGTCTTCTCTTCTCATGAGATGGCCAAAGTATTGGAGCCTCAGCTTCAGGATCTGTCCTTCCAGTGAGCACTGAGGGTTGATTTCCTTCAAAATGGATAGGATTGTTCTCTTTGCAGTCCAGGGGACTCTCAAGAGTCTCCTCCAGCACCACAATTCAAAAGCATCAGTTCTTCAGTGGTCAGCCTTCTTTATGGTACAGCATTCACTTCCATCGCTACTGGAAAAACCATAGCTTTGGCTATGTGGACCTTTGTCGGCAAAGTGATGTCTCTGCTTTTTAAGATGCTATCTAGGTTTGTCATAACTTTCCTCCCAAGAAGCAGGCGTCTTTTAATTTTGTGGCTGCTGTCACCGTCTGCAGTGATTATGGAGCCAAAGAAGGTAAAATCTGTCAGTGCCTTCATATCTTCCCCTTCTATTTGCCGGGAGGTGATGGGACCAGTGGCAGTGATCTTAGTTTTTTTGATGTTGAGCTTCAGACCATTTTTTGCACTCTCCTCTTTCACCCTCCTTAAGAAGTTCCTAAATTCCTCCTCACTTTCTGCCATAAGAGTTGTATCATATGCATATCTGAGGTTGTTCATATTTCTTCCAGCAATCTTAACTCTGGCTTGGGATTCATCCAGTCCTGTCTTTCACATGATGTATTCTGCATATAAGTTAAATAAGCAGGGAGACAATATACAGCCTTGTCGTACTCCTTTCCCAATTTTGAACCAATCAGTTGTTCCATATCCAGTTCTAACTGTTGCTTCCTGTCCCACATATACGTTTCTCAGGAGATAGATAAGGTGATCAGGCACTCCCATTTCTTTAAGAACAGTTTGTTGTGGTCCATGAAGCAGAAGTAGATGTTTTTCTGGAACTCTCTGGCTTTCTCCATAATCCAGCGCATGTTAGCAATTTGGTCTCTAGTTCCTCTGTCCCTTCGAAATCCAGCTTGTACTTCTGGGAGTTCTCGGTTCACATACTGCTGAAGCCTCCCTTGTAGGATTTTGAGCATAACCTTGCTATAGCGTATGAAATGAGTGCAGTTGTATGGTAGTTGGAGCATTCTTTGGGATTCAGATGTAGACTGATCTTATTCAATCCTCTGGCCACTGCTGAGTTTTCCAAACTTGCTGGCATATTGAGTGTAGCACCTTAACAGCGTCATCTTTTAAGATTTTAAATAGTTCAACTAGAATGCCATAACCTTCACTGACCTTGTTGTTAGCCATGCTTTCTTCACTGGCCTTGTTGTTAGCCATGCTTTCTAAGGCCCACTTGACTTTGCTCTCCAGGATGTCTGGCTCCAGGTCAGCAACCACACTAACTGCGTTGTCCATGATATCCACATCTTTCTGGTATAATTCCTCTGTGTATTCTTGCCAATTCTTCTTGATGTCTTCTGCTTTTGTGAGGTCCCTCCCGTTTCTGTCTGTTATCATGTCCATCTTTGCACAAAATATTCCTTTAATATCTCCAATTTTCTTGAACAGATCCCTGGTTTTTCCCTTTCTATTATTTTCTATATCATTGCACTATTCATTTAAGAAGGCCCTCTTGTCTCTCCTTGCTATTCTTTGGAGGTCAGCAATCAATTTTCTGTAACTTTCCCTATCTCCCTTGCATTTTGCTTCCCTTCTGTTCTCTGCTATTTGTAAGGCCTCGTTGGACAGCCACTTTGCTTTCTTGCATTTCCTTTTCTTTGGGATGGTTTTTGCTGCTGCCTCCTGTACAGTGTTACGAGCCTCCATCCATAGTTCTTCAGGCACTCTGTCCACCAAATTGAGTTCCTTAAATCTGTTCTTCACTTCCACTGTGCATTCATAAGGGATTTGGTTTAGATTATACCTGACTAGCCCAGTGGTTCTCTCCTACCTTCTTCAGTTTAAGCTTGAATTTTGCTATAGGAACCAAAAGGGTCTTGTTTTTGCTGACTGTATAGAGCTCTATCTTTGGCTGCAGAGAATATAATCAATCTGATTTCAGCATTGCCCATCTGGTGATGTCCATGTGTAGAGTCGCCTCTTGTGTTGTTGGAAAAGAGTGTTTGTGATGACCAGCTTGTTCTCTTGACAAAATTCTATTAGCCTTTGCCCTGCTTCGTTTTGTACTCCAAGGCCAAATTTACCTTTTGTTCATTTTATCTCTTGACTCCCTACTTTAGCATTCCAGTCCCCTATAATGAGAAGAACATCTTTGTTTGGTGTCAGTTCTAGAAGGCATTGTATGTCTTCATAGAACTGGTCAATGTCAGCCTCTTCAGCATTGGTAGTTGGTGCATAAACCCGGATTATTGTGATTTTGAAAGGTCTGCCTTGGATTCGTATTGAAATCATTCTATCATTTTTTAGATTACGAACTAATTTACGACTTACGAACGGCCCTAGTTGCGAACATTTCGGGTTACGAACCCGATCTCATCACAAGTAGTACACCCTACTTGCAAATGCGGATCGGGTTACGAACCCAAAAGGGAGGGAGAAAGGGCAGCAAATTTGAATTTCCTGCCCTTCCTGCCTTCCTTTGGAGCTTTCAAAGGGCTTCCTCCGACATTGGAGGAAGCCCTTTGAAACCCCCGAAGCCAAAAAGGCAGGGAGAAAGGGCGGGAAGTTCGAATTTCCTGTCCTTCCTCCTTGCCTTTGGAGCTTTCAAAAGACTTCCTCCGACATCACAATGCTCCAGGTGCTGCCCTACCAATGTTTTGTTCAATGGCATTATCAGTTGGTTATTTTATTTTCAATCCCCTTTTTAATGAGGTCTACCATGGAATTGGCCTTCTTCACTGCTGCCGCACACTGGGTTGACACTTTCATCAAGCTGTCCACCAGCACACCAAGATCTCTTTCCAGATCCGTCACGGACAACTCAGAACCCATCACCTGATAAGTAAAGTTTTGATTTTTTGCCCCAATGTGCATTACCGGTACTTTACATTTTCTTATATTGAAACACATTTGCCATTTTGCCACTCGTTCTCCCAGTTTGGAGAGATCCTTCTGGAGTGCTTCGCAATCCCTTCTGGTCTTCACCACACAGAAAAGTTTTGTGTCATCTGAAAACTTGGCCACCTCACTGCTTATCCCTGTCTCCAGGTCATTTATGAACAGGTTGAAAAGCATCAGTCCCAGGACAGATTCTTGGGGCACAACGCTTTTCACCTTTCTCATTTGTGATAGCCTATTGACACCTACTCTGTTTCCTGGTTCTCAACCACTTCTCAGTCCATAAGAGGACCTGCCCTCTTATCCCCTTGACTGTGGAGTTTTCTCAGCAGCCTTTGGTGAGGGACCGCCTCATATGCCTTCTGAAAATCCAGATAGACAATATCCACTGGTTCGCCTGCATCCTCTAAAAGTGTTGTGAGGCAAGAGTTATCCTTACAGAAGCCATGCTGATTTTTCCCTCAGCAAGGCTTGTTCTTCTGTGTGTTTTAAGATTTTATCTTGGATGAGACTTTCCACCATCTTCCCTGAAACAGACATTAGGCTAACCAGTCTGTAGTTTCTCGGGTCCTCCCTCCTTCCCTTTTCAAAGATTGGCATGACATGTGCTATCCTCCAGTCCTCTGGCACTGTGGCCCTTTTAAGGGACAAGTTGTATATTTTAGTTAAGAGATCAGCAACTTCATTTCTCAGTTCCTTATTAACCCTTTGGTGGATGCCATCTGGACCTGTTCACTTACTGATCTTCAGTTTATCAATTAGGCCTAAAACATCCTCTCTTTTAACCTGTATCTGATTTACTTCATTCGTCAGGAAGGGCCATTCGGGCACCTGAATCTGCCCAATGTCTTATGTTCTGAAGACAGATGTGAAGAACTAATTTAATTTTTCTGCAACCTCTAAGTCCCCCTTTCCCTCCCCTTTCGTTCCTCACCATCCAGAGGGCTAACCACTTCTCTGGCAGATCTCCTGCTTATAAAATATTTAAAGAAGCTTTTATAATTCTCCTTTATATTGCTGGCCCTATGTTCCTCAAAGTCCTCCTTAGCCTTCCGTATCTTTTTCTTACATTTCTTTCATCAGAGTTTGTGTTTCTTTTTATTTTCCTTGTTTGGGCAGGATTTCTATTTATGGAAGGCCCCATCCCTGCTCTTCAAAGCCTCTCTAATTCTGCTCATTAACCATGCTGTCACCCTCTTGGATTTAGTTGAGCCCTTCTTTCTTTGTGGTATAGACTTCCACTGGGCCTCTACTACCGTTGTTTTGAACAGGCTCCATGCACTCTAGAGAGATTGGATTCTTCTTCCCTTTCAACTTCTTTCTAACTAGATTCCTCATCTCAGGGGAGTCCGCCTTCGGAAATCAAGGGTTTTTGTGTAAGATTTGCTTGACATTCTCCCCCCAGCATGCATGGCGAAAGAGATCACAACATGGTCAACATAGCGGCTCAATGACATTCATGGTCAACATAGCGGCTCAATGACATTCATGTCCCTAACCAGATCCTGAGTACCACACAATATTAAATACACAGTCACCTGTCCTCTGGTGGGCTCCGTGACAAGTTGCTCCAAGGCACAGTCATTTCGCATGTCAAGAAACCCGGTTTCTCTTTCTTGACCCAGGCATGCATTGATCCAGTCGATGTGAAGATAGTTGAAGGTCCCCCATGATTACAATCCTATCCCTCTTGGACACCTCCCTGATTTGTCTCCTCATTTCAAGGTCCCCCTCTGTTTGTAATAACAGATGATTTGAGGTCTCTTGAAATCACTAATCCTCATAATTTCAAATTATGAATTAGATTGAAATTATATTGTTAAACCAAGGTTTTTTTTGCTTATTTTTCATCAGTAGACTGAAAAATACTCTAAACTGTGTAAAGGAAGTATATCTTCATTTTTTAAATGTGCACTTAATTTTTTTTTATCTGAATTGTGATTTAGGGAGGTAGATTGGGAAGGGAGAACCCTATCTATTAAAAAATTACTATATTTTGCTTGAAGACTGCTTAGAACCTCCATTTTGTTTGAAAAAAATTTCCTTGGCTGCTATCTGGGGCCCACATAGTGATAATAAAGTTTTTATGTGCTGGTTTAACAACTTTGTTGGCTCCTGGCTTGTTCTTACACACAACCTGAATTGATAGTTTCTAATGAGTTGAGCACTGAAAATGGTCTTTTCCACTATGAGCCTTCTCATATGCTGAAACTTTTTTGAGGTTGCCTCTTCCTTCAGTATCTCTGTCACATGAAGTGGGTAGGTGGCAATGGAAACAAAGATGTAGCTGTAGAGGCACCACTTGTACAATGTGCTTCTCAGGGATATCTTGTATCTTTTATGAACTTCCCATCATCAGGTGAACACATTTCAGTTTTGCTAGCCTTTTAATAGTGTTATCTATGGAGTTTCATGCTGATTTCATCTATTATTTTTATCATTGTTTTACTTTGTAGGTTTTTTGGTGTTTTATATGTATGCATATTTAAAATACGTTTTTTAAAGAGTGGGAGTGATATACATTTTATAACTGAGCCTAATTTAAGAATATGTTTGTCTTATAATAACTCACAAGTAGAAAAGGGTATTCATAGTTTCCATGTAAGCACTAAGTCTCTTCTTGGATGTGTTATGGTTTTCCAGTATAATTAGTTTTTTCAGACTATTGGTGGCAAATCCACTGTTCTTGTATAGAACTGCTATCATTAGCATTGGCTGCATGTTTTTTGTGCTTCAGTCAATTGACTTGGTGAAACACATAATTGGTGGGACTTGTAGGATGCTTGATATTTGCAGAAAATCAGGATGGGAACTTCGTTGGGATCACCTTTGTATTCGCAGTCTTTTCTAAAATACGATGAAATATACATTTCATAAGCAAAATACAATTTGATTGTAAATGCATTGTAGTTATGAATAGTGGCAATCCAGGTCTCTGTTTATGGTTCCCTACCCCAAATTTGAAAGCTAAATGTGATCCTGAGTCTTATGATAAAACCCTCTGCATGCATCCAGTACTAGAAGAAACAAAATTCACAGGCAGTTTTTTTGTTCTGAATTTTCCATACTGTAGACTTTCATGCATCTGAAAGGGAAGAGAATGAGGCATGCTGAAATTCCAGTCAGTTGCTTCAACCGTATAAAATTTTCAGATGTAACAATGTGTGAATGTATGATTTATTAAGTACTGCTAAACATGCAATATTACTCACATAATGTAGTTTATATGTAGGAAATTCTATACTCCATAGCACATGAAATGGGTTGTGAAAATGTATTTTGTCTTGAAGTCTAAAGCAAGTTTCTAGCTTATTTACCCTGATGGCCTTTCTACTTTGCTTGGTGATTTTTCTATGCTTTCTTCTAGCAGCTTGTTGCCAACTACTTAATCGTATTAATCCATCCACAACACCAATGTCTATATATTCTGTGCAGTTTTTAAAGTTGAAAGCATTAAAAGCACTGCATCCTTTTAAATTGAGTAAGTGTTGCTGGCTTACAGTTTCACTCTTTCCTATCTTTTCTTTTCTCTGCCCCTCCGCATGTTCTGCATGGTATCTGTTCTGCTGATGCTGCCTTCACCTGGGTCCTGTGCATGTGTTTTCTAATCCCAGGGAGAAGGAATCATTTTGCCTACTACAACTATCACACTTATGAAGGTAATGCTGCTATTTAATACTGTTCTTTCTCACTAGTCACTAAAATCTGTGTTAGTAAAAAGGAGTTTGTCCTTTTTGATAACCAAAAAGTGGTTTTTTTGGTGAAGATGGGAGGTGGGGGAAAATGCCAGTAATTGACATGTTAGTGGAGTTTGTATATTCCTAAGATGTAGTTTCAGGGTGTGGAGAAGATGAGTAATTATAAACTGAACATTTCATTTAAAAAATCTTAAGGTGAGTACTGCTGTTGATTTGGAATTTACAAATTTATCTTTAGGGTTTTGTAATATTTGGATATTTTGATTTTTATCAGTTTTAGCAGACAGGGCATTGTTGAGACAATTTGGTATCACAATGTTAAATGCACCTGCTGTTTAATAACAGCCTCTGAGATGATACATAGTAATCTTCATCATCTGAGAAGTATGGGCTGGATCAATTTTTCAATTATCTGTCTTCCTCCGTATTTCTAATACTCAGATCAGGGCTGTGTACTTGCACATAATCATGTGTTTGGTTTGGAACCAATAACTTGCTTTTATATACTTTTTTCCTGACTCTTTATTTGCAGAGTACAGAGCACTGAAGGCATTAGCAGACATATTTGCAAAGACGCTTTCCACTGTCTCTTCTCAGTCCGTTTATTCCACTCTTAGCAGATGCAACAGTACAAACAGCCGTGGCTAGCTTTTCTGCAGCTGCCCAGAAGTGAGACCCTTCCCCAGAGCATCTTTGCTTGCTTATTTCCAGCTGCTAACATCCCTCCCCAGGGTTGTAGATTTTAGGACCACAAAATTGGGTCTCACCCCCAACTCAAAAAAAGCACTTGGTGCTGCGTTGATCTCTGGCCTTTCTCCTTCCCAGTCTGCTCCTTGGCTTCCCATTATTGTTGGGTTCCTTCCTCTTCACGTATTTACTCATTTGGATGCTTGCTCAGCCAGATTCTCTTCCTTGCTGTTGTCTGCTCCTTGCCTCTCAACAGTGGTTCCTCACACTTTTTCATGTTGGAAGAACAGTTGATGGCAAGAAGGAGAGAGAGGAAACGGTTCTCATTTGTTTTTGGATTATAGTTCCTAGAATTCTGGGAGATGTAACCGAGAAAACACAAATCTTCATTACTTCCCTCAAAAGTGTTGCTGAATGTGAACAAAATTCATTCCAAGCTGAGGAGGAGTACGTAGGTCCACATGATAGACTATGTTAAGTATTACTTACTGTAACAGGAGGTGCTCCCAAGTTATAAGATTGAAGTATTGCTTCCAAGGAAATGGAATTCCCCTATCTTCAGCTACAACTGGTGCCTATCTTTCCCACATTGTATGCCCTGGAATGTAGCTGGGAATTGTGACATTATCCTGATCGAATTACTGGTGCGTGGTATATTTAGAATTTCTTTGTTTTTAGCCCAGTCCATGCACTAGATAAGCTCAGAGCTTGATTTAAAAGCTAAACCGCGCCTTCTCGGCAGTGGCTCCTCACCTCTGGAACAATTTGCCTCCAGAGATTCATGCGGCTCCCTCGCTGGATATTTTTAAAAACCAATTAAAAACATGGATGTTTAGGCAGGCCTTTCCTCCAGTTAATCTCTGATTCTTTCCCTTTCTCTTTTTCTTTTGTGGTTTACTTTTCATTTTTTCTCCATCTTGAAGAAATGGCTATTTAGTGTAATAATTCCTTTTTATATTTATTGTCATATTATGTGTTGTAAGCCGCCTAGAGTGGTCGCAATGACTGGATAGGCAAAATAAATAAATAAATAAATAAATAAATAAATAAATAAATAAATAAATAACCCAATGCTACCTGTATTTTCAACAACAAATCTTAGTAGCAATTGCGCAGATTCTGCAAGCTTTGTTAATTCTCTAAAAGCAAAACGAGATGGCTGGACCTATTTTACTTTAGTGGATTTTCATCAGTTCAGCCAGTTATCTGAGCCCATGGACATGGGGTAAAGGAGAATCCCTTTGAACATGGAGAACATGTTGGTTTTGGTCTTTGTTAAAACTTATTCAGGCCTCTTTTCCCTGATATTAGAATGATTCCAGTAGGCATTTCTCTCTGGAGGAGTTAGCGTTTTTCTCCAGCTACAGGGACCTTGACTTTTTCTACTGAAATATTTTCTGTCTTTCGGTTGAAAATTATGTACCAGAAATGCTCAAATACTATGATATGCTGAATGACACAGTTCTATAGACAGATTAAGATACACTGAGAGCCTGAAATATTACTAATTTTTGTATTTTTCTATATGTGTGTATCTGATATTGGGAGAATTCCCTTAGGCTGCTTTTAAAAAGAGAAGGACATTGGCATATTGGTCATTGGGTATCCCATTGTTGGTTTAACTTTCTTTTGATTTTTTGATTCTTATGGACAAGATATCTTAATTTTTTTCATTTTGGTGGTCACATATGTCTTTACAGTGATGATTATAATAGTTTTCCCTATCCCTTTGTGCAGTCACTGAAATATTACCTTTAGGATTGTGGCCATTTGTCTCTTACTGTTGCTCATCTCTTAACAATTTTAAGAATTTGATCAGTCATCCATAAAGGCTTTTCTTTTCTTTTCGCTTCTGGAACAGTCTTTTTGGATTCTTCTCAAATAATGCCTCTGGTTTGAGTCTTCTGGTTCAGTCAGTTATATTTAGTAACAGATCAGTCTGTTTTTATAAGATTTATAAATTAATCAAGAATGTTATTTAATTTGTATTTTGGCACTTGATGCTGTATTTTGGCTCAGTAAAGCTGACTTCCAAGTGATTTCAGGACATTTTGTGCTGCTTGTTCCAGGTGCCAAAATTGGCAGTTATGGCATTGTTTCCAGTCCTCTATTTGGGATTAAAGCCTGCTCTTTAACAGCAATTTTTCTCCCCTCCTTTTTCTCATCTCAGCAACCTGAGGAAGGAATAGTTCAGCAAGGTAACTATTACCGTATTTTTCGCTCCATAAGACGCACCTTTCCATAAGACGCACCAATTTTTTAGGAAAAGAAAACAGGAAAATATAATCTGTTTTCTTCGCTCCATAAGACACACAGACTTTCCACCCCCCTGTTTTGTGGGGAAAAAGTGCGTCTTATGGTTCGAAAAATACGGTATGTCTTTCCAGGGGTGAGAGCTCACGTGCCTCTTGTTATATTTCCAGGTGGCAAGTTTCAGGAATTGGGTAGTCAAAGTCAGTCTAATTTCAAACACAAACATTTATTTTTCTTGACGACATAGCTGCAGATCAGAACATATCAGAACCTTTTTGGCTACCACACCAGAATGCAGCCCAAATGGACTATGTGGGGAGGATCTGAAGTAGCTTGTACCTACAGCTAGCTTATTCCTGCTTCAGACACAGTGTTTTCTGAGACTTCTTCCTCCATTTTTTACTTGAAGTTGGGATAGAATGTACATTTTGTTTGAAGTCACAAAATTGACTGAGAAGAAACAGGGAGAAAGGAATGCATATAACTTGTCCTGTCCAGACAACTATTAGTTTTGCTGGGGTGTGTATGAGAGACTGTGTCTGTTCATCCATGCATCCAGAAAACTGAGGAGAGATACATCTTGTGTGTGTATAGGACAGTGCGTAATAACAATAACTCCTTTGCATCTAGACGTTCACTCATGGCAGCTAGACTTTTTACCCTGTTTCCCAGAAAATAAGACCTAACCTGAATATAAGACCTAGTATGATTTTTTCAGGATGCTCATAATATAATAAGCCGCAGTTAAGTTAAACCCTGCCCTCCACCATTGTGCTGCATTGTGCAGCAACCAGAAGAAGATGACATGAGTATAAAATAAAACATCCCCTGAAAATGATCCCTAATATGTTTCTGGAGAAAAAATTAATATAAGACCCTATCTTATTTTCAAAGAAACACAGTATTAGGTTGAAATGTTTCACTATTCATCCAAGTAGCTTCTTCAGTCTGATGAGAGTTGGCAGGAGATCCCTGATACTGTATATGTTGGCTTCACTTTCCCCTTGTCTGAATAGGCTCCTTAGATGGACAAAGGACTGGAGGTGAGTGAAAATCCCACTTTTGCAGTCCTCACCCATTAACAGTCATTAACAGTGGTATTTCTGGTGTGTGTGGTTCTCATCTTTCTGGGGACAGATGAAAGGGCAGCATGATAAATAGGGAACAGATTGTTTCTAATGCCTCCACCCCTGTTGAGTGAGGGATTTTCTATATGCACATGTCTGGCCTCGTTGATCCTTCTCTCAAACCACTTATAATTAACAAAAATATATAGCTAAAAATTGGCATGTGAAACAGTACCTAACGTTGATTTTGTCTGTCACTTGGGTGGGAGGCTTAATTCATAGAAGCCAGTGTCATCAGAACTCATCTGAAATAGATAGCCCATAAGGACACCATAGTCAATGGTATCAAAAGCTGCCAAGAGATCCAGACAAACATGTTGAGTTTTTTGCAGTTGTCAGCCACCGAAGTAACCAAAACTGTTTCTGCCCCATAATTAATTCTGAAGTCAAATTCAAATGGATTAAGATAACCCATCTCATCCAGGAAACCTCAGAGCTGAGAATTTGCCTCTTGTACCTTGCCCAAGAATAGAATATTTGAGATTGGTCAGTACTTATCCAACATAGTGTGATCTAAGAAGAGCTTTTTCAGCAGGGGTGATGAATAAAGACTTTGAGAGGATTCACAGTCAAAAACAGGTGACGTTTTTGATCTGATACTACAATTTCTACTTCATGGTGCTTGCCTCTAATGGCAGAAGCCTTAGAATCACAGAATAATGAAGTTGGAATGGGCCTTTAAGGCCATTGTCCAACTTCCTGCTCAATGCAGGAATACAAGAAATATCTGCCAGGTGGTTGTCTAAATTTCTCTTGAATGTCTCCAGTGTTGGAGCACTCACCACCTCTTAAGGTAATTGATTCCATTGCTGTACTGTTCTAACAGTTAGGAAGTTTTTCTTGATATTCAACCAAAATCTGCCTTCTTCAATGCAACCCACTTCCAAGAAGATT